ACGTCCGCGTCCTGGGTAAGACGATAAACACATCCGCGTCCTGGGTAGGACGATAAACCACATCCGCGTCCTGGGCAAGACGATAAACCACGCCCGTGTCCTGGGCAAGACGATAAACTACATCAGCGTCCTGGGTAAGACGATAAACTACGTCCGGGTCCTGGGCAAGACGATAAACTACATCCGCGTCCTGGGTAAGACGATAAACTACATCCGCGTCCTGGGTAGGACGATAAACTACATCCGCGTCCTGGGCAAGACGATAAACTACGCCCGTGTCCTGGGCAAGACGATAAACTACATCAGCGTCCTGGGTAAGACGATAAACTACGTCCGGGTCCTGGGCAAGACGATAAACTACATCCGCGTCCTGGGTAAGACGATAAACTACATCCGCGTCCTGGGTAAGACGATAAACTACGTCCACGTCCTGGGTAAAACGATAAACTACATCCGCGTTCTGGGTAAGACGATAAACTACTTCCAAAAGCAAGACCTCTGATCGGGAGGTTTTGAGGAGCGTGGAACGACCTCTTAATTGTTGGAGTTCCCAGGTCCACCTTGACCCGGGGTGGTAGAACCTGTTAGGGTCCCAGCTATGGGCAAATAGTTAACACCCAAACTTGTGTAAAAATAGGTTTTAATACCAGAAATAAGTTGTAATAAAAAAGAATATTACAAGCAATAATTTTTGAAAGAAATATTATCAGCAATACTTTAAAAAAATAGTAGTAGCAATAAAAACAGCTATACATTCTTAGAAAAAATATTACCAGTTATAGATGTCTTCAAGGAAAAATATTCCCAGAAATAGATTTTTGAAGGAAAACATATTACCAGCAATAAAAATTTTGTCGAAAAATAAAATAACCCATTAAGGTTGATATGTCGTAAAACAAACCAAACCAAACAAAACATAAAAACGCTACTCAGAACAAATGAGGAAATAATTCACTACGACGTAAATATTTATAGAGTCCTAAAATCGCAAGGTCGTCTACAGTAAATTTGCGCCCTTGCTCTTAAAACATTTCACCATTCATGGCACATCTAATATAACAATGTGGAAGCCATACTTACAAATTGATGGAAGGAAAAAGAAAAAGACTGCATTTCCTCTGGACGGTCTCCTTGTTTAAGTTAGTGAATGCTTCCATAATCCTTGCCTTCAGTTCATCTTTGGTGTTACAAGGAATTTTATTGGTCTCTCACTCAACTGCACCTCACACATAATAACCAAAGGGGCTGCAGTTTGGGGAGTTAGATGGCCAGATAAAAGGGGTGATGTGGTCGCAGAAATTGTCTGACAGCCATGACTGGGTTCTCTTGCTCGTGTGGCATAGTGCAGAGTCATGTTGCCAGATATAAGGTCTTCCAGCAGCCACCCTCTTGACCAAATGCAGCATTATCTCCTCAAGGCTTTCCTGTTGAGTCTGAGTCCCCGTGGAAAGATGAATGGAGTCAGAACGTTGCCATTATTAGTGATCACTTCAAACACCTTCGTAATCACCATTAGACTCATCCAACTCTTTCCGTGTCCTCTGCGTTGTTCTCACATTGACACTCAAACACTCTGAAATATTCGTATTGGAGCTTCTGGTGCGAATGCCAAGCAGCACAGCATGCTGTTTCTAAATTTCTGGTATTGTGAATATCGTCATGGTGCTCTTTTTTTTTCTCACAGACGATCCCCAACTGACCCTACTCTACTGTGCAGTCGACAAAATCAAAAACAAGCAACGCGTATGCGCGAAATTAATATAAAATGGAGAGTAAATACTATATTTTAGGAATACGTTTTCACAACATCGCCCACATGACGCCGACGTGATCATATTGAAACAGAACGCTGATCTTGAAAAATTTTAGTTGTCTGTTTTGATTAGTCTTACTCTTATGTCCATCGTCTTTTTCATGTTGAATTGAATATAGTCTAATGTTAATTATGTTTTATGAATATGTCCTGAAGATGGTCTACTAGACCGAAACGTCCGACGTTGACATTATATTAACATTAAAACAGCATAATTGCATATTAGGATTTTTGTTTGTTTTTTTTTTGCGTATATTTTTTTCTTTATATATATATATATATATATATATATATATATATATATATATATATATATATATATATATGGACTCTTCATGGTTAAGTAATACTGAAATATTACAAAGGTAGTTGATTCCATCCCCCTAGAAGTACATCCTTGAATTTTTTTAGTATTTGCATTTATTTGCTATTTTCTTGTTTTTAGGAAAGGACAGCAAATTTAAATATGTCGGTCGAAGATAAGCCACATTGTCATTTTTCAGTCCAGAATAATTTTCGTAAAATGTGATAATTCCCATTCAACATATTTAAGTAGCAAGTACTCTAATGGTCAAAATTTAAGGACTTATTTTCCGGCGCAAGATTATATAAGGCATAAAACATTGATAAGAAGTTCGCCCCAGGGT